TGAGATTCATTACATTCTGGACAGTGGTTCATATTAATAAGTTCATTTGTAAATGCTACACATAAATTAATACAACAATTTACAAGTATTGGTCTTAAAGGTACAAATTCTCCAAGAATTTTTCGTAGTTTGTAAATTGTAATTTCAAAGATCTCAAGGGTTTTAAGAATTTCGTTAAATGCTGCGTCTGAGATATTATATTGGTTTAATTCGAAAAAGTCGCAAACTCTTAAATAAATTTTCTAAAATAATGTTAATATACAATATAATAGTATATAGTATTAAAAAATTGTTTTCAAAAATAAGCTTACCTAAATTTATATTTTTATTGAGTTCATCAACATCATATTCCTCGTTATATTTATCATAATCTTTGTTATATCTCTCACAATTTCCATTATAATTTTCATTATATACTTTATAATCCACTTTGCTATATCCCTTACTATCATTATCTTTGTTATATTCTTCATTAATATTCTCACTATATCTTTTATTATACTCTTTACTATCTTCCTCATTATCTTCTTCATTATATTTATCATTATACCCTTTATTATCTTCATTACTATATTTATCGTTATGCATCTTATTATCTTTCTCATATTTCTTTTTGCTCTCTAATATTGTATTATATTCATCATTACTGTTAAATAGATTATTCAATTTTGGATTAATGCAATTTAGAATTTTTTCACTTTGGCTAGTATAAGATAAGGTTATTAACGAAGTAGCAGAAGACATTGATGCAACTGCTGAAGAAATTTGAAAAAAAGAAGTAACTAAATTTTGTCATTGATCTGGAATATATGCTGAATTAGGCCAAGTTTTTTTTTGTTTTAATGAATATCTTGTTCGAGTTGATCTACTAACTAATTTGCCCTAATTATCTGACTCGTGTAGGCACCAAATACATATACAAAGAACTTTGTTATCTATTTGTATATGAAATAAATTCGTTGCATTAAAAAAAGTAGAACAAAATCAATTTTTATAGATATTTATTTAAATAATTATAGTTGCAATCATAAAAAATCAATAGCTAATATCAATAACATTTTAAAATAAGTATTTATTCAAATGATTATAGTTGTGATCACAAAAGAATCAATAGCTAATATCAATAGCTAATGATACTTAAAAATGATATATAAAATAATTATATATTTAAAAATGATATATAAATAATCTCAATTAAAAATTTACTTTTTTTCTTGTATTTTCTAATTACTCTTGTGATTATATCCTGCATTCTAATTGTCCTTGCAATTATAAAAAAACATTATTATTTGTGATTAGATTCTGTTCTAAGAATACCACAAAACAATTTTTCAATTAATATCTATACCCTTAATGCTGAGCAGTGTTGCAGTTTTTTCTTGAACTATTTGATCTAGATCTAACTATACCTAACGCGCTAAACCATGAGCAATGTCGTCGTCTACATTCTATATTAATTGCTATTGAACCTTTCCTTGCAGAATTATTTCTGGATGTGCATAGTGCTGTATGTAGCATAGCTAATAAACAGGTAATTTTATTTTTCATTTTTTTTTAATTTTTGTAAATTTTAATTTATCTTATTTGTGTATATATTTTTTTTTTAGTTTCCAAGAGGATCTAAAATGAACCCAATTAAGCTTAGTAAATACGAAAATTATAAGGAATCTCAAAAGAGAATTAAAAAAGATATGCAGTGGAACGAGTTTTTGAAACTTGACAAAAACAATATTTGAATTTTAGAGTAAGTTTTTTACTTGACAAAAAATAATAGTTGAATTTTAGAGTTTGTTTATTATTATTGCTTTTAATTATTTTTATTTCATTTTTATTATAGAATGATTTGCGAAACCGTGCTGCTTCTTAATTTTTGTATAGTATATCATTAACCCACCAACCAAAAGGAAAGGCTAAAAAAGTTATAAAAGAAGTAAGATTAAAATTTCATATATTTATAAAGAATGCTAACACTAATATTTGATTATATATTATAGTTTAATAAGCCGAATTCAATATTTTTAGTCTCTGAAGCCAACTTTGTTTTTCATGATTAGCTTGTCTTATATTACAACAGTATGGGTATATAATTGTTTATAATTCTACATATTTATCAATTATATTATGATCCTTTATTTATAATAGTTGATCAAGAAAAAAAAAGGGTTATTGAAGCAAGGGTGAAAGGGTATGCTTTATCATCAAAAAAAAAGAATGTCCGACCTTCCAATAGAAAGCATAATACCAATTATATAAATATCAAAAATATACCTGATCAAAGTGACACAGATAAGATGTCTGATAATACACAAGACTTTTTTGAAAGCGTTGATAATATTAATAGTAATAATTATATTAGTCTATCATAACTAACAAAAAAAAAAAATACAATAGTAGCAAGATTGAAAATCCAAAAAAAAAACTTTTATTAATGACTTTGACCTTTGCAAAAATAATATAAATGAAGATGTATCTGAATCTGATATCTTAACAACTGCAATTAGTGCATCTTCACATGCTAATATTGGTCAAGAAAATATATCAACACTTGTGAAAAATATATCAAAAAGAAGAAATTTGGCCCCTATCAGCTGCATAGTACAAATATTAAAGTTAATGATCATAGTATAAATATTGTTAATGACATAGTACAAATATTAAGGTTAACGTTAAAGAAT